AGGCAGTCAGGGTGCTCGAGAGGCTCTAGAGGAGCCACATTGATCCCTGTGCTTCCTAGGAAATGTTCAGACTCTGGAGCTCAGCTTTGCCCCGCGGAAAGGCATCTTCTTAGCAGGAGCCATCTCGCCCCCACAAGCTGAGGCTGCCCAGTGGCAGGTTCTCCTACTGCACAGTGGGAATAGCCAACATAACGAGTTGCTGTACGGCTGTACTGAGCTTTGCAGGTATATGGGATAGGTGCTGGAATCAATTTTACTCCTTTCTGTTTAGTTATATGGTAAAGCACAGATGTATCTTTATTTTAATCTCCTTTTCTACTTAATTGCATGCCTTCAATTTAAGAGAAATTTAGCCCGCTATATGCTTTGAAGGCCATTTTCTTAAATTTATTTTCAGACAGTGCTAATTTTAAAGATTACCTCTGTTTGAGAATCCCATGTGTTCCTTGTAAATAGACCTTCACTTAGAAAGAGGTAAAATAAAACCCAAATCACCGGTTTTTAAACATAGTGCTAATACATACATAGTGCAACCCCTAGCATGACTAAAGACATGCCAGACTGCCACAACCCTGCTCCAAAAATTCTAAAGAAACAGCAATATTTGGGTCAATACAGACCTTTCTTCTGCAGTCAGGTCTTGTGCCCTCAGAGCTTCAGTAACCCTCCAGCACCTTTGAGGTCTGCCTCCTTTCAGCATGAGGGCCACATAGCACTTTTATGTGGGAAAGTTGTGTTTCTCGTCGGGAAACGCCCTCCCAACGAGATCAGAGCACAGTTTTTCCTACATCAGCTGTAATTCAGAAGTATCCACACTCTCAGCTTGTTTTTGAGTGCGTGAACGTTCATACGCACATTTGCCCTTTGCACTGAAAATGCCCCAGGGAAGAAGGAGACCTGCTTTGTAGGAGTAACACCAGGCACACGTATAAATACAGACAAAGCTGTTTTATTTGCCAATGTCCAGTGCTCTGCACTACGCTTCTACATCTAGTCAGATTACAATATGGTGGCCTTGACAGGATGGGTCAGTATCATGCATTGTAGAAAAGTATTAACGTATATAAGCAGAACATACTTAGGCAAATCAGCTAAACTGGACAACAGGTGAAGAATGCATTTAGGTTAAGTCAAGCTGTGTAGAAATCAACTCCGTCGTTTTCCTCCACTCTCGCTTGTTTTTTTCCCCCACATCAGATAGCGTTAAAACCAATTCCCTCTGTCCCCCCACAGAACTGAACTTTTCTTAGAGCATTTCTGATCTTTTTTTTTTTTTTGCAGCTAAGCTAAACCACAAGGTAAAAGGAAAAAAGGAAGAAAGAAAAGAGTCTGTTAAAAAATGATGCAACTGGCTTTTTTCCCTTCCCTCACACTGTGAAGATTAAAATAGTGATTGCTTCCATCAAACGCCTTAGATCACAGCTTTCACTAAACAGACTATTCAAGCCACATTTCCATTATTCTCATCATCACTTATATAACGGTGACTGATTTTATCATTATTCTTTGTATACGTTTCCCTTAGTGCTCTAGAGTAGGAAAGATTTTTTTTTCCTCATTGCTAACCAGCAACAGATAAATAACTTCTCAGCTCAGTGTTTAAGACAAGGTGTTTTCTCAAAGGAGCCTTTTCCTTCTGGACAATAGTACAAAAAATATGTTGTTGTGGCATGTGACAACCAATAAATTCCGTCACTGGAAATCTTCATTTATTTACCATGAGTCTTCTAGTTAACATTGTCTTTAAGAGACAAAGAGTTTGAATGCTATAAAATGTTGTTACTATGTGAAGGGCAACTGTAATGAACTGCTAAGGTAAAGGATGTTACTAACTGAGAAACTCTTATAAAGGAGTAGAACATATCTGTTTTTCTATTTCAGCCCATATTTCATGTTAATGGTTCAGCTTCCGTGTTGTGATTATAACATACTGCTTCTTATATTCATCTTCTCTATCCTAAATCCAGCTTGTAAAAAATACTGCATGTACTGCAGATGCATTCTTCTAGGGGCTTAAAAAAAAGACAGTTGATAAGCACCCTCTGAAACTCAAAATTAGTTAAAACTGTCCTATTTCACTGCATCCACCTTTCTAGAAACAGAGATCTAAATAATAAAGAAAAGGAAATAAAGCAGCATGTCATCCATTCTGAAAACGTCCTTTCTTTCAAAAAATGCTTTATATCAGAAAAAGGAACAATGCAGCAAACTGAATAGGAAAGAGAGCTAGTAGCAGATGAGTTTGCGTTCTAGATGTGCCACTGCTTTTCCTGAACCGC